CATTCTATCCCCACTCTATATGTGTGTGTGTGTGTGTGTGTGTGTGTGTGTGTGTGTGTGTGTGTGTGTGTTTGTTTATTTTACTGTTTATCATTTTCTTAAACAGGTAAAAATATAAGACGGCAGCCACCTGTCAACACTAGAGTTGAAAAGAATGGCGAGCTCATTATATCCCCTGTAACCGCTGCCAACAAGGGCGACTATGTGTGTTTGTTCAAAGAGGAGAACATGGTGATGCATAGGATGTACAGCATCACAGTTGATGGTGGGGTAGACATTTTTCTTCATGCATACAGTATATGACTCTTAATTTTGTTTACTCATAAATGCAATGGAGCATTCTGATTTTGGATACATTTAAAATGGATTTATAACATTGAACAAAAAGCTTAAATCTAAAAGAGTCAAAAGTGTTTGTGTCTCTCTCTACAGCATCAATTGGCTATACCATTAGGGTAGCTACCGGTTCAGATGAAATTAAGCTCCCATGCCATTTCCCACCTGGTAGCCAAGTCACAGATGCTGCACTGTGGTTCAAAGAGAAAGGTTCTGACAATAGGGCACAACTGAGTCCTGATGATTCAACAGGTAAAGTGGGGCTGGAGCAACTTGACCCACATGACAGTGACCAGACTATCAGTCTCAGAAACATTGTCAAAGAGGATGCTGGAATTTACCACTGTGAAACTGCTGATGGGGAGCCGTTGAGCACTGTAAATGTTATTGTTGAAGGTAGGTCTGGCAACCTTTTCTCTGTGCTGCTATGTTACTGCACAGTCCATGCATTGTGAAATCACTATTTTTATGATAAACTGCACAACAAGCTCTAAATAAGTATTTAATACCAATGAACACAAAGTTACAATAAATTGAATCCATTAGATTAAATAAATAACTCAAATCCAAACAATGTTATGATAGGTACTGCAGTAATGTACATTTTTTTTAACTATCTGCCTAAACTTATTTCAGATCCTTATATCCCTAAGCCACACTCGTGCGCCAACACTATCGCATGGGAACCCTGCCTGGATGAGAACAGTCGCACAGGGGAACCCATGCTGCAAGAATCAGTCACAGAGTTTTCCATGAAGCTCTATTCTTCCTTTAAAAAGTCACTTCCCTCTGGCAACCTGCTCTTCTCTCCAATCAGCATCAGTTCGATTCTCTCCCATTTGTTATTAGGTAGGAAAAGATAAGAAAGTTATAGCTTATTTCTCTGTGCCAGAGAGCTACACTTTTGTCTGAAACCTGTTAAAACAGATCATGAGCCTAATTTTTGCAATGTATGACATATCTCCTGATGATTATGATGGGGGGCACTGTAGTTTACTTTGAGTTGATCCCACATACATTGTCCTGTTGCCAGAAATACTCAACAATGCACCAACTGCACCAAATAGATACCAACAAAAATACTATTTCCCTCTGTTTGAAAAATATTAGCAAAGAACAACAATATCAGCTGTTTAAGAAATTATTAAACCTCTTTTTTACATGAAAATTATCCAGTTTATCCAAAAAAATAGAGATACCAGCTTTGTCCTTTAACATTCTTTGGTCTAACAAACAATATTATCCATTTGCTGACTGAGTACATTTAGACAAGGAGCCTTTTATATAACTTGGAAAATACATAAAACCTTTCTCACTTTAAAATGTCACAGCAGTTTTCCTCATTTTAGATTGAATGTCAGACATACTTTACAGCTTTCTAATGCACTCTAAAGTATATCTCTTTCAATATTATGCCTTTTCTTTGTTGTGTTACCTTCAGGTGCAAGGGATGAGACCCGTGAATCTATTGAGGATGCGGTCTCCGTGCCTCACGACTTCCACTGTGTTCACTTCCAGATGAAGAAGCTGAGAGAGAAGTTGGCCAGCTCCTTGCAAATGGCTTCTCAGATCTACTATAATCCCCGTATTACTGTCACTGCATGAAGCACATGAAATAGCTGTTTGTTAAAGAGAAATGCAAAAGAGACTGCACATATACGAAGCTAAATGGATCTCTCTTTCTGCAGCTCATTATGTTTTTACTGTTCTTTTCCTCAGAACTGAATGTGAGTGAGTCCTTTATTAACCAGTCCATTCAGTTTTATGACGCGGAACCCACCAGGCTATTGAATACCAGTGAGAAAAACACATGGATGGTCAACCAATGGGTCGCCAGTAAAACCAAAAATAAAATCAAACATTTGGTTGACTTTGTATCACCCAGTACACAGCTGATCCTGCTCAACGCTGTATCCTTTAACGGTCAGTAAAGTGTGTGTGTGCATAAGTGTGTATATGTGAAAATTGTAGAAACTATTAAACTGTGTATATGTGTGTCTCAGGTCAGTGGAAGGTCAAGTTTGAGCCAAAATCACACAAGGAACATTTTGTAAAACTGAATGGTGATACGGTAAAGGTGCCTATCCTCTATCACCAGAAATACATGGCGACTATGACATATGCTGTTTCGCTAATGGCACAGGTAACAAACACAGAAACACACATCTTCATCCATTCATATGCTACACTGACGAGGCGTTTAGACTGTAAGGTACACCTCAAGATTTGAATGGGGTCAAAGGTCCTTTAAACCCCTGAGACTCTGACTGCTGCAGTTTGCGTCAAAATCTTTGCTTCATAATCCAGTCAAATCTGACTACATAGACCTAATACACATATTTTTATACTCAGTGTTACTTACAGTTTCTGAGGATATCATCTGTAATATATCTGATCTTACCTTATAGTGAATAAACATCCACAAATATTCTTAACAATCATTAAAACTATAACTCTAGAACTTCCCTGTAAATCATTTTTAAAATGTTTAGTACTAAAGTAATCCAGTGATAGCTGTTTGTGCTGTACATTCATCAATATACTGCAAACAGAAACTGCTAATTGTTAATTCACCATAATTCTAATTATGCTAAAATGTGAACATACACAAAGTGCTAAAATGCACTCTGTACCTATTGAGTATATGACAATATTGAGCTTCCTGTTTGTCTCCCAATGCATTATGGGAATTGTATTCAAAACTTACAATCGGGTAACCCCCAAATTATATTAAAAAAAATAATCATAAGATTGACAAAATTCAATAATTTGAATGTTTTTCATGTTACATTGTTTATATTTTTTACATTATAATAGATTCAGAGGTCTCTGGGGGAAGGGCACAGTTGTCTTCATTTTGTCTGAGAGGGGACCCATAGTGTCTGACTTTGAAAACACCTCAATGTTTTATATTGGCAACAGGTGGCGAGGTTTGCTCTCACAGGTGACAGCAGTCTTTACATCCTGCTGCCCCGCACCAACACACTTACTGACCTGCAGCAGGTGGAGAACAGGATGACGGACACAGCTGTGCGCGAAATGATAGAACTGATGAACAAAACACATCCTCAGCATATTGAGGTTACTCTGCCCCAAATCAAGATAGATGCCCAGCCAAACATGAACATGCTTCTTGGGGATTTAGGTTTGTTCTTTCTAAAGTCACTTCATGATCTTTTCTGTCTGCCAGACTGTGTATTAATACCACATACTGACTACCCTCCATGCTTTCAGCTTGTGTACAAGCCAGCAGACAGCCATTAGGTACCATTGGTGAAATATGTCTTCCCATCTGCTCTTTGATGCTCCTGTATCTGGTCCACTTACTTTGCTTTCCTCCCTAATTTTATCTCTCCATAATCTTTCTGGGCTTTTCTCTCCCTATTCCCCACACAGGACTGAAGTCACTCTTTGAAAGACCCAATCTGTGTGGCCTCATCTCCAAAGAGAGTGTGGTTCTCAGTGAAGCCAAACACAGAGCCTACCTTGCACTCACTGAACAAGGAGTAGAGGCCGGTGCCGTCACCTCTATGGTGTTTTCTCGCTCCTTCCCTTCATTCACTGCCTTGCGGCCTTTCATCATGTTGCTGTGGAGTGACCAGGCCAATGTGCCACTCTTTATGGGCAGAGTGACTGAGCCATGAGAGAGAAAAATGAGGGGCAGACACAGAAAGAGCGAGAGAGTGGAAATGTATCAGCATCACACGAGCAGGAAAGAAATAATGCAAATATAAACAAAAGTTCCCTGATATAATTGAAACACAATTATTTTTCTTTATCTTACTGCTTCTTGTGAAAATTCAGCTGCTTTTTAAAAAAAAAAAAAGTTCAGTAGAAGCATTTTTTTAGTCTCAAAAGAGACCCTTACAACATACACAGGCTTGGATGTTGATTGTTTTCAAAGATGATGAGAAATAAAGACACAAGTACATTTGCTGCTTGTCTTGTGTTTTTGAAGAACTAAGCTCAATATGGATCATAATATCATTTAAAGAAAGACCGACAACCTCTGAAACGACTTCAGTTTATTTTGCGAAGTAATTACACAAACCCACCACATGATGGCGGCCATACTGTGTGATTGACATTGACAGTGAATACACAGGAACTGCAGTAACGAACTCCCATCTCATTCCCATCTCAGCCCTCCTGCATCATTGCCACTCATATCAATTTAAGGAAGACAAGTGTCAAAATCTGTGACAGTAAAGGTTTCATTTAAAGCAATAGCTTGCTTGGTAAAGCACAGCAACTGAGCGAAAAATACCCTGAATCATCATATTCACAAACAAACAAATACACAGTGACAGTAACTGAACAGATAGCATAGACTGTAAACACATCAGCATTCAGAATGATCAGCTAAGGTTACACTCTATTATACAAGCTGATGGGGACTGTTAAACATGCAGCTTCATTGGAGATAAAATGATTACATAAGCAAAGCGGGGTCAATAGACGAGAGTCAGGAAAATTTGGTGGCTGTAAACAAAACCAACAGATCCAGAGAAAGGAATAAGCAACTATCCAGCCAGAAATGTGACCTCTATTAGATCACTGTCACACAGTCTAATCTCAAAACAAAACTGAGTATTCCCAGAAATGCATTGTTTGATGCTTGGATAATATGATATTGTTGTTGTTTTGGTTTGATTATCTTACTGCTGATGTGCTGGGAGGTTCGATGTGCATAGAGAAAGTACAGAAAACCCACTATTCATGCCCCAACCCTCTCATTAAAGTCACTGAAAATGTGTTTAAGCATACTGTTACAGCACATAGTTTAGTTCTAAGCTTTTATAATGCCCAAGCCCTTTTTGTTCTAAACCTAATTCACCACTGAAGGGACCAGTTTTTGTGGTCGACGATGAGAGACTGCAAGAATATGAGTGGACAGATCAAGTCAACAGTTAAAAAGGGTGGGGGGTATTTAGAGAAATCAGCAACAAGCTAGCTGATATGCAAATATATGAATAGAGACACATAACACACTTGCAGGTTTGCACTGTAACATAGCTTCTCTATATTTTGGATCCTGCTTTGTGAGTACCCATTGTCCCCTACTAACAAATGTGCATGCAGGATGTAATTTCACTTTAGTCCTCCTGAGGTTAAATTTATGGGGGGGAATTATTTCAGTAGGCAATCATATGATTCACAGACATGGGCAGAGGAGTCCCAGTGGTCCTGTCTACTGTCCAGAGGATGAAATACACCACTAGACCTGATATCTAGTAGGTCAGAAGTAATGGGATGAAGGGAACACTGATCACAGCAATGACTCCCACAAAGGGCTGAGGTTTGTTTCAGCCAAATATTTTTGACATATTTGTGTAAATCCTCACAAGGAGGGTGTATGGGCTGTATAAAAATGGATTAGAACACCATATTTTCACAAATCAAATAATCGGACCAATCCAAACCTGAATTTTAAAAATCTTATATCAGTAGTGTGCTACTGCTCTGTATGAAAAAAATGCTGCATCATTTGTGACCAGTGGTCCTCAGATCCCTTACTTAAGTAAAATTAGCAATACAACAGTGTAAAACTACTTTGTTACAAGTACAAGTCATGCACTCAGAATGTTACTTCAGTAAAAGTACAAAAGTATTTGAATCAAAACATACTTAAAGTACTAAAAGTAAAAGTACTTATTATGCAGAATTGCACATTTATCATATGATTTCATTACAATTACTTATGCAGTGTTACTGCAATGTTGCATCTTGTAGAGGGGGAGCTAGTTTTAACTAGCATATATGCTTATAATTTGAATTACTGCTGAGTAGCTTGTGAATTTTCCACTGGAGATCAATATGGTCTGATAATTATACAGTAATTTTTGTATTAATCTGGTTTAAAAAAAAGCAACTAGTAACTGAATGTATAAAACAAATGTGGTAGAGTTAAAAAGTACAATATTTACCCTTAAGATGTAGTGAAGTTTAAGTATGAAGTAGCACAAACTCAAATTAGTCAAGTAAAGTACAGATATGTCAAAATTCTACTTAAGTGCAGTACTTGATTAAATGTACTTAATTACTTTCCACTGCTGTCTGTGACTCTGTTGGAGCAGAATTGGACTCAGTAAAGAAAATTTGCCTGGATAATGTTGAAAAATATCTAGTAATGCTGAGGTGAAATCAAGATACCAACAGCACCTCCTGCCGCTACACATAACTTTAGAAGTCCATCAGTAAAGTTGAAGAGAGCAGTCAGTGGTTATGTATAAAGACATATTTTGTTCTTACAGTTGCTCTATGACTGTCTGGCAATAGGAGAAACTGATGGCAAAGGTCTGGCACATGATTGACAGCTTGTCAAATGTTCTCCGGCCAGGAACACCGACACCACTATGGCCCGTGGTGGAGGATCTCTCTCTTGTATTTGTCTTTCTTGTCCTTCATTATTATTTCTCCAGCACCTCTCTGCTTCTGAAGACGGATGAAGACATTTTGGATGGGGCACGACATGAATGCAGATCAGTTCACGTGGCCCAGACAGACAACGTAGGCACTCATTTTCTCATAGCCCTCATGCACACACACACACAAACAGCTTGCACACAAACGCTGACTCGTTAATGTATGATATGAAGAAAGCCACTATCACTAAAAGACAATGAAAAGACACTGAAACAGTAAAGGTACAAATCCACCAAATGGATCATTTTGTGCTTTGTTTTGCATCAGATTAACAAACACTAAAATCACCCTTTTATAATACCCACGCTCCTGTAACTATAAACCACATTATGAGTCACTAGGGTGCACATACTGCTGGCCCCTTCCACTGAATGATCTTTGAGTACATTAGGTGTAAATTTAGTGTAAAGACATAATATGATCAACTTCCACGATACAGTAAGGTAAGTAAGCACAATTGTGATTATTGTTTGGTTACTTTAACACTTTAATGAGGACATTGTCACAATTTGGTTCACCTTTAAAAAATATTTGTTCAGATCACTAATATTAGTATGAATATCATATACTAATACTTGGTGCTGTAATTATCAGCATTATATGAGGGATTTCATTTTCAACATTATTATTATTGCATGTTTTATCCTTTGCTGTTACTGTATTACTGCTGGACTTGGTCTCTGCTTTCAACCGTTGCTCAGTGAGTCAAGTGTGTGTGTTTACATGTGTATGTACGCACGAACATCTTATGTAATCTAGTCCGGTTTGTCATTGCTTGGGGCTCCTTGTTGTGTGAGCGTGTGCCAGTACTCTACTTTCTTCCCTTTGTTTTTGAGACACTCGAACCAGTGCCTGAGTCTCTGACCGCTTGCATTAATGCCCAGCTCGACTCCACCTGAAACAAAAGAGGGAGAAGCAGAATAAAGTGTCACCAGCGTGTGCAAAGGAGAAAAATGGTGGTGGCAGGTGGGTCAGACCTGCTGGTATTAAATGTGCTGGCTAGGGTTTTAACATATTGATTTATTTTGAACTTGAGCTTTTATCTGGTTTATTGGAGATTTTCAATCTGAAGTTCAGCAGCAGGGCATGCCTGAAACACACATGCCTTCCTCTCCCAGATATATTTAAACCAGCAAGAAAGACTCACTTCTGTGTTTGCTTTTCTTAAACCAACTTTCCTTCTCCTTTTTGTGCATCTTTCTATCCTCTCTCTCCCCCCTTTCATGCAGGGGGTCCACCAGTGCCAGAGAGAAGTATGGATCCTCAAAGCCTTTCTCTTGAAACTGCAGTTCATAACCAAGTCTACACCAAGCATCAGTCTTCTCTCATACACTGATCCTGCTTCTTTATTTGTGCAAACCACTCTACTTCGGCAGCCAATTGTTTCCTTTTTGAAACTATTCAAGCTAAACCTGATAAGAGGGAAATGTCAGTGCATCCCATGGCTCTATGCTAGGTCTGCTTCTGTTATATGCTGATGATACAATAATATATTTACTTGAAAGAAACAAAAACTATGGATAACTTGGCAATAATGTTCATCAACATTTGTGCAAATAAAGGTTCATTGTTATTTGCCAGGCAGACAGGCGTGGGAGCACAGAAGGAAGTAAACAAACATTCAAGAACAATTCCTTGAGGCAGAGAGAGAGAGAGCTAAAACAGGTAGCTGGGTAATTACCTCAAAGAGATTTAGACAACAAAAGATTTAATGAAAGAGCATGGCCGCTAAGCACCATGGGTGGGGGCAATAAATATATAGCAGGAAATGACTCAGGTGAAAATGAGCAGAGGTGATGAAAGCGAAGGTGGAAAGGCAGTCTATAACAGAGAGAGATGCAGGTATAGTTGTCATACTAAGGATATAACAAAGCCATTCCCTCAGCTGTGATTGCACAAGTAATGGAGCGTGAAGATTCAGACATTGTATTTTGGCAATGCCGGATCTGGAAAATGACAGCTGTGAGCAAACAAGGCTCAATTGTTGATCTGCGACTCATCTGAGCTCAGCCTGAGATTATGCTGCTGGGAAGAGAGGAATATTTTATAGCCTCTATCCTCCTTTTCTTTCCTCTTACATGCAAACAGGCAAGTGGCAAAGCAGGTCTAAACATGCTGACAGTTTCAATAGGATGCTCACGCACAACACTTTCCCACCTCCACCCCTGTCCCCAACAACACTCGCGCCAGCTCTGAACAGAAATTAGTGGAATGTTTCCTGAGCCTGTGGATTGTTAAATGAACGGTCAGCCATCCTGACATACACTGAGGGGACAGAAAAAGGATGAGGAACCAGTACTGGATGAGATGATGCAGACCAGGGTGAGGCTGACACACAGGCTGGAAAGCAGATGTGCACAAACCCTCCCACAAGTTTGAACTGATACCTGATCTGCTCATTATGATCGATATTGGCATTGATACTGATCTGCTATTTTGGAATGGCTTATCCCTACTTGAGACTTGATTTGGACTTGTCTCAGTGGACTTCACTTGTGCCAAAAGATTTACACAGCTCTGGTATCTGTGCCTCGTTTATAGAGCAGTTGTATTATATTCTCTGTAAGACTGTACAGTTTCCTGGTTTAGTTGTGGCTCATGATGAGGATGAAATTTCTAATCTCTCACTGTGTATCGATTGCTCCCTCAAGTCAACCTCTTGGTTGACTGCTTGTGTTTTTGGTTTTAGTTTTTTTGCAAATTTGCCCCCATTTGCTTGTCAATTTGCCCTTTTTCTCCTCCGTGTATTCTTTAAAGGTAGGGTTGGCGATCCTGGAAACATCAGGAAGCATATTTTGAAAGTTGACAACAGAAGAAATCCCACCCTTTAGTTCTGACTTCTCTCCAAAACCTTCAAAACACAACGTGCACTGCCTGACTACCACTTACAGATTTCAAGAAAATAACAAATGCCCCCCAAACAGAACTGATATTTACCTGTCCAGCAGAAATACACCCACCATGGCATCACTTTTCAGCCCCTTTTTGTTCTCTCAGTTGTCACTGTCATTCAAAAGCCACACCAGTTTTAATTCAGGTTTTACTTCTTGCAGCATCCAACTTCTTTTTAGTTGTAACTTTCTCAAATACAGTGTCATGTTTTATCATTTGACATCCTCTATATCTGTCTGCACACTTGTTATTGCTCTTACTGCACTGGGATTGTGTTCACTCTGTTTCTTTATCAGTTCTTTTTTCTCCATTCCTTGTTGTCTCTGTGTCATTTTTATTCCAGCCCCAATTAACATACCTGGCAGGCTGCTGTAGCTAAACCTGTAATGATAATGGTCAAGGGAATGGCTGCTATCTGGAGTTGTTTAAAAGACTGATGGCTTTTTTCTCCCCAGGAGGGCTAATAACTCACTGGGCTTATCTAACCACTGAGTGTCTCCAGCCCACCCACCCCTGCCACACACACACACACACACACACACAAACACATACACCGGACTGGGTAAAACACTTTGATCTGAAGGTCTTCGAGCTCACAGTGAATAATCCATTCTCACTGCCATACCACTAGTTTCCCATCACTTCCTGAGCTCACATGTGCTCCATCGCTGTGATATACACACCGGGCCAAAGCTCTTTAGCTGTCTGACAAGACAGCAGCGATCTGATGTGCCCAGTCTATAAAGAATGGGAATTTAGTAAAAATGTTCTCCTTTCTGATTTTTAAAGCCTCTCCATTTCCTTTTTGAATCAAATTGCCCTTCGCTTGCTGATTCATTCTCTTCAAGCCTCATAATTACCTCTCATTTCCCCACATTTTTTCAACTTTTCTCTCCACCCACGCTCGGCCTGGTTTTTCTTTTTGTTGTTGTTGTCTGCAATTGCGTCACTTTCTTTCAGACACTTGTGTAGCCATCTACTTTGCTGCTGCTGCTTTTCTCTCCATTCCTCCCCTCCATAACACAATTTTTCTCAGAGTACCTATGAAGTCGTTGCTCATTCCCAAATCATAGTCCCACACGGTGATCTCCAGGGTTTTCTTTGCCAGCTGGTCCAGGGGTACTTCATATGAAAACTCCTGTGCAGGTGACACACACAAGAACAGATTTATATTAATGATTCATAAACACAAGTTGAAAGGAGCTGAATTTTGTTCATTTTCAGTAGAAACATGCAGATTGATGCTAAGACCCCATCAAGGAGATGTCACATTTGAAGTAATTAGACTACTTTCTATGCTATACATGACAGACAGTCATTTGAAGCTCAGTAGAAAAATAAAATATGCTAGGTGTACTGCGTTAATTTCTAGAGCATTACCTCATTGAATTCAGGATTAAGAGTCTTTTTCTTCACTGATGTCTTGTACTTGGACTTTTTTCCCATATCTGGTTGCAAGACACTAAGAAATGGAGACAAAGAGAGCAAAAGCTGAAGTAGACATAAAATCATTGGAATCTTTTTCTCAGTTTATGTACAACTTCAAGATAACACATAGCTTGTGTTTTTGACACTTATTTTCATTTGATTTCTCATGGACAGTGACATGAGAAGATCAGTGCCACCCTTTGAATGTTAATTATTGAGATTTAGTGCTAATAGGCAAATTTTTGAAAAGGGACAACTATAAAAACAAGATCTGTACAACTAAGATATTCAATGCGCTGTTTCTTTAAACAGAACATTCATTATTTCTAAGTTCCAAGTAACTGGTCCATGACTTTGTTGTTGTTTTCCCTCTTGTGACACTAAGTGGCTGAATGGCAGAGAACAAAAGCAGACAGACAGTGTGCAACATCTTTTTGCTGTGCTAATTGCAACCTAGAAGTCTTTTGAAGAAAGGCAGGGATAGTGAGCTTGTGAAATAGAAAGGCAGAGAGTGAGAGAGAGGCAGTAGACCACAGCAAGATCATAATCATGCTCATGTGCGAGGAGAATGCTCCAGCAAAGAGGTGACAGAAGGATCGCTGGAGGGCAATGGGAGTCATCATCAGCATAAATTCCAAGTCAAGATGTTCAGCTGCTGAGATATCTCACTCTTCCAGCCTCCCCTCTGACAGTGATGAATCCTGCCTGACAGCTGATGCATGAGATGGGCCTGGGGCTGTCACAACAGAGCTGGATTCAGAGCGAGGGAAGGATGGAGGAATGGAGGTGGAGAAGGAACTGGAGGAGGAACAGAAACTAATAGAAAGCATAAAGAAAGATGAAAAAATAAAACAATAACAAAAGACAAAGCTGAGAGATCACATGGTCTTTAATCGATAAGAAACAAAATACATATAAATTATGCAAATCTTCTTTAACATATTTCATAATTTGGCTTAAGTTAAAGCTGCATTAATTGAATTTTTATTGGCAGTGCGACAAGCAGTAAAGACAGCATGGGCATATTATCACATTATAAGGTTGTTATGGCAACCATGTTGCACAAATAGCTGCCTATTTGTGCATTATCATTCATTTGAAGTTTCTGGACAGCTGATGAATGGAAGTCCAATATTTAGTCTCTACCATCTCTTGAGGGAAACATCCAGATCTTTAGCTGCTAAATACTTCCTTTTTGTGCTGGACAGGTGTTGTAGTGTGTTGTTTATTAAGAAAATGAAAATAAGCACTTTCACACAGAACCAAACCGTAAAGTTACAGGTCATAAAACCAAAACAATGAGCTCAAAGATGCTAAAAACTCTGTAGAGCTTAGTTAAACCGCAGAGTTAAGAAAAATGTTGATTAAAATTTGGCTGCCCACCAAATTTGTTTTGAGAACGCTTCAAGGGACGGTATGGCCCAGTTTTGCACATCAGAGGCAGACAGTTTGCAGTCGTCACATTTAGCCTGACAACCACTGAACAAACTGCATTAGAGAAAACAGTTCAGACTAAAACTCTAGAAAAATGTACCTCTTTTCTCTTTTAAATGTGGGTGCCTCAGCCACCAGTAATAAACTGTAATACCCACATCAAAGTTTAAGCCATTGCAGTGTGTTGTCAGCCTGTGACTACACTTTGAAAGGTCATATTATTCATGAGCTAATCAGCATTTCCAAAATAATTCATATTGGCTGATGCGTATACAATAGTCTGCCTGCCTTCACAAGAACAATAAAGATAAACTGGAAGGAAAAACTGAATCAATTGAGGGATTCATGCAAACAAAGCTTCCATTTGACCAGCAGCATGTGAGAGGGTGAGGTGAAAGCCTGGGGGACAACTCGGTCTGAGTTGTGTCAAATGACATTTCAGATATGGCTATGAAGCAGCTCAGATGGAGGAATTCCAATTTCCAGAGTAAAAAAAATAGTATCATTCATAACACTGATAGCAAAAACAAAAATATGTTTCATAATGCACCAACTGAATTATGCACAATTTACTGTAGAAAATTCAATGTGAAGAATACCGTTTGTTAACAGTTTCCTTAAAAAGTAGGTGGTCCACTGCAGAATACAATAAAATAACTAAGCCCATATTTCTGCCCTGTATCACTAAGCCATTTTAGCTCTCTGTCACCAGCCTCTACAGACTAACAAGGTTCACAAGGAGTGGAAGCTGTTGTTCTCTAATAACCACAGTGGTGTTTAAATACTGACCTACTGGGCTGACGGCTGTAGCTTTATATTTACCATACTGACATAAGAGTAGAGTCAATCTTCTTAAGTAACTCTCAGGAAAATAACACTCAAAGTTTTACATCATATCCACTGAGAAGCACGTGGTCTTTTTCATCTGTTCTGAAAATATGCCTTCATGTCATAGAAGCTGCATAGTCAAGTGACTAACTGACAACTCTCTAAAAATGACTGCATGGGAATTTGATACCTTAAACCATCCTGACAGCAAATTAAGTTAGGGAGAGACAAACATGAGCACAAGACTGTGTGTGAATGGAAAAAGAAACAACAAACACACTGAGATGTGTCAGGGAGTGATGAGAGAGAGGGAGGTGGTGTTTAAAACAGGAACCAAACCAAGAAGTTATGACGCAGAGATTGGGAAAAAGCGTGATAGAGAAAATAAGTGAGAATTTGAAAAGAAGAGCTAAATATATGCCTGCTGCACAGAAGAGTCCTAATTTTCACTTCACACAAGAGTTTAGAAAAAAAAAGAGCAGGGCGATGTGCTTGGTCGGCAGGAAATATCTGACATGTTTGGCACTTTTTCTCCCTTCAGACATTTTTTTTCCAACACAATAATTTATTTCTTTAAAAAAAGGTCATGTGTGAAGAGCAGGGGAGAGAAATAAAGGCTTCTCAAGGATATAAACTCATTTAATCTCTAAAATGCTAATATGTGCTTTTAAATGGGAGACAAATTAGCTCTGCCCTCATTCTGACCTTGAGCCACTTGAATAGGCTTGAAAAGCTGATTGAGAGAAAAGACCGACCGGAAGAGCCTTCTGGACAAATGCACAAATGCACACATACACAGCATAATTAAAGAGCAACTGGCATCCAGATCATTTAGTTACAGATTACTGAAGAAGACTGCTGGTGTTACAGCTGCAGGACATCACCGCTCTAATGGTGAAGTAAGCCATAAAGTTTGTTAAGCACATTAATTCCTATGTTCACTTAGCTGCTCAGGCTGCTCTAGAGATGTAATTCACCGATGCCAGTTATTAATTCACCCCATTTCTCTGTTTAAAGTTAACTCCACTAAAACTTCTCAGCACAAGTTATCTTAGGCCTGTCATGGAAACCACAAAAGGTTGCATTAAAAGAGCAGCATATACTCTGCAGAACATCCACTGAGCCGACGTAAACAAAGCTCTTTGTGATGGAAACAGATACAAGAGGAAACTGTGGCAGACAGGCAAATGAAAAATCCCAAAAGCTGAAGTGCCACAAATAAGAATCAAATCAGAGCAGTGGCTTAAACAAATCATATAACCTAAAAGAGTCTGTACAGAAAGGCACAGCAACTTCAGAGATGCAGAACAAGACGAGGGAGGCCAAACAGTAACAGCAACAGGGAAGAGAGGAACAGAAAGAAGGGGAGTATTCTGAGTGTATGTGTAATGTTCTCCTAGCTTGATAAAAAAAAAACAATGTATCACTTTTAAGATAAATCAGTAACTTGGACAGAAAGAAGACAAAGATCCTCGTGCGTGTCTGAGAGATTTTACAAGATATGAGATTCCACTTTGTTTTCTGTTTCTCTTATCTCTCACCACAGAAAAGACTTTCAAATTGTGAGTGAGTAATGCATGCCCCCAGATGAAAACAAGATCAGGAAAAAATGCTTTTCAGTCCTGTAATTATCTATCCTTTTCATTCAGTCCAAACTGTGTGGAACCCCTCTGCTTTCCAGCTTCCCTTTGCTGTCCAGTGGGTCATCTGGTCCTTCCTGTAGAACTGGACTTTTGCAAAAAATACACGTACATTTTTCTGCAAATCTCAGCAGAGGAAGTGTGTTATGAGTAAGTGAGGGTGCAGAGACACACAGAAGAGCCAACATGCACACATGTGAAATCTGAGTGTGTCATGCTGGCCTGTATATCACACAAGCTGAACAGTTCTTGTAACTTCCTAGCTGGTTCCGGGGGGGGGGGGGAATACATACAGGAATAAATGTAACTAAGTGTAAAGAATAAACAAAAACAGCAAAGCAAACCTCTTTGAATGACAGCGGTGCACATTCACCTACATGCCGCCAGCAGAAGCATGTTCCAGCTTAAAATCTACATTTAGCACACAAGGGGGCTGGAAGAAATTCGAGCTATTCCATCTCTTTTTCCATATATTTTACCATCATCTTCAGGCCAGAAACAAACATCACTTGGCCAAAAATCAAAGGGGTCAAAACCAAGTCAAGAGTAGCTTATCTATTATTGAACCTTAAATGACTGTATTCTAATCACACTGCTTTGCATCACAGTCTAATCCACTGAACAAACTAAAAGTGAAGGTGCAGCAAACTGGTGCTCCTTCTCCCATGAACCCTCCCACTTCTTCTGGAGGTGGCACTGGTTACATGATTGGTTGTCCTGTGTGGGAGCTCTCACTCCCAGTACAACTGGTATTTAAATGCAGCAGGCAGATCAGAGATTGAGTTGTGTGGGTTTAATCTGTCACTGCGCATGATTTACAAGAAGGCTGGCTCAGGTGTACAGCTTACATACACACAAGAAGGCTGGCTCAGGTGTACAGCTGTCGAACACTTTGCTTCTTTGTGTTTTAGACTTTGAATAGAGTTGCGTTGGCTGAGAGAATTTCACCAAGTTTTGCAGTATGATCAGGATTGCATCTCCCAAATGTCAGTGATTTTTAAGGTACATAATATGCAGCAGACTGTTTCCTTGTGTCTTAGATCCTGCCACAGAACTATCCTACGTCAGCTCAAAAAGGCAGTTCAGAGTTATGGATATGTTGTTTATCTGCTTGTTGTTTGCTGTACTGTATTAGGCTGGCCAGGCTTATGGTGACTTCACATTAATAGGCCCTGCAATGTGTGTGTCCCATGTATGTATGTATGGTTCCTAGGTTTGTGGGTGATGTCCCATAAGAATATGACATCTGGCTATGCCACCTCAGGCCTGTCTAACCGGTTAAAGGGCAAAGCATGTGTGTAATAGAACAAAGGTTAAAGTGACAAAATTGAGTATTCTTGAAAAGTTTGTATGTAGACTAAAACGTTTTCTTTTTATGTACATAACTGTCTCACAATTCAATGTACAAAGGAAATGAAGCAGCTTCTCAATGTTGGAAAATAGGACTTGTAAGAGGTGTTGAAACAGCTGCAGAAACATCTTAGAAAAAAAACATTACCACATGTAATATTTTCTAGAGACTATGTCTCTCTGGAAGCATTTAAGATGAAACATTTTGGCGCTGGGAAACAATTTGTGAGGGAGCAGTGAAATGAAGAATTTCAACTCTCAAATGAAAGAAACTGTGGAATCAGATTAACACCTAGTGCCCTTCAGTGAGATACTACAGTACAGACACTGGCAACATGTTCTCTGCCAAATTTCCACTGAGTATTCCTTTGGCACAAAACGCTTGTGATCATGATTAAATTAGAAAAATGTGAACACTGACTGCTCTCATGAGACATAACATCACACTGGTGAAGCCGCATGCTGACTTCTACACTTTAATCTTTACAGCACTTCCTCCATTGGCACAAAACACTGCAACTGAATGTAAACTGCTAATGCACAGTCGTCACGTATAAGCATAACCATTTTGTTCATGAGTATCCGATGTGACTTACATTTTGACGAAAGGGTCAGAGTAGCCATTGGAGTCCATAGCAGCCAGATGAGCACAGCGTATGATACCAACCAGCAGACAGCCCTTCTCTGTGTTATAGCACAGTGACACCAGGATGCGGCCACGCTAGAGACACACAAAACAACAGGATCAGAAACAGCACTTGTTTCCACTCGTGCAGTACATTTTCCAGTTCAGTGAATGCACACAGTGGGGTATCCTGCAGCAGCCTCAACATACTTTTTCAAAACACTTTTCATTTAAAGAAACAAGAAATAAAATAACCACTAGATGAAAATGAAATTAAAATAATGAGTGCAAATAAATAAATTGCAATTTGTCACATCATTTTCTCTGTCCAGGAAATGGTGTGTCTGTATGGGCAACAGGAGTATTAAAATTAGACTTTGTAATTAACAGCCAAACAGTATCTGGGTCAGGCAAAATGATACTGCTGTTTTTAATGTCCATGTTCAACCATAATCAGCGTCTCAGTAGAGAAATCATACATGTTGTATATTGATTACAAACCCCTAACTACAGAATATGAGTTAGATATAGAAAAGTATTGGGAAACGACAATAAGACATTTTGGTCTTAAATTGGTGATGATAAAGTTTATGAAGCTCTACCTCCTCCTCAGCCACAAGCGCTCCCTGGTCCACCATCTGATTGTTCGTTTCTTTATTCTGCAACAAGACAGAGAGAGAGAGAGCGAGAGAGAGAGAGAGATCGTAATCTGTGTTTTTGCCTACAGAACTTCCAGGTGAATAGCTATTACACAATATGATGCAGCATTTGAAATTGATGCCTTAGAGCCCCCAGGCAAACATGCACATTGGAAATAGGACACAGCTTGCTTGATATATATATATATGTCCACAGAGTCCCAATTGGTATGTATGTGGACAGTCCATGCACAGTCAAACACACACACACATACACAAACCTGTGCAATTCTTTCCAGGCTCATATTGTACCGTTTGCTCTCGCCCTCTTTCAGTTTCTTCAGAGCCACTCTCACCTCTCCGATGAATTCATTTCTTCCGAGTCTGTCCATGTCACATACACACAGCCTTCATCCGCACAAGGAAGCAGAGAAGAAGCAGGTGAGTCACTGAAAAGCTACAGATGAACCCTCTGCCTTGCTCATTATCATGAAGCAAGTGTAGACAGTGCCAAATATATATCCAAAGTGCATCTGAACAATCAATCCAGGTTTCTGGTGAGCTGCCTCATGAATGATGAGAAGATGTGTGTACTGCTCAAGAGAAAGAGGGTTTCCAAAGAGTTTCAATCACTTCCTTCTTGGCTCCATCAGACACTAATTAGTTGTAAGTGAAACATGTAAGAGGAAAGAGACAGTTTGAAGAGCACATAATCAGTTTTCATTTTGCATCTCTTTGAGCTGAAAGGACACTGATTTTACAGTATGTTGTATACAAGCAGAGAACTGCTATCAACTCATTTGCCTACATTGTGTCTTGTATATATTGTTTAAAGTATTTTTTGGACCTTCGGTGTGTGAAGATTGACTTTGAAGATGTACCATACGTTCATATGCAAATTTATGTTTTATAGACTACATTGCTTCTGAATGCATTTTAAATGATGGTATCAATCAAAGCTGGCAGTCGCCTGTTTGTCAGATGAAGGCAGCCTGCAAAAATGTGTAACCTAATTATTCCCAAAATACTAATATGGAATTGGTTATGACTTAGGCTTTGTGAAGCAAAATTAAAGAAAACTTTTAAAGAGATAAAGTATTGGACAAATTAGATCTGCAAATGATGCTAGAATAAAAGTCACTGGGTCTCCAATGTCATTAGGCTTCATGGTCTAAGGAGTGGGTATGTCTGTATAAAATTTCATGGGAATCCATTTAATAGTTGCTGAGATATTTCAGTCTGGACCAAAGGAATGGACCAACCAGCCAAATAATATTGTTATTACAGCACACTGCCAGCATCACTAAAAATAACTAATAACATAATGCAGCATATCTTTGGTGATTTCCAATGAAAGCATCTTAAAAAAAAATCAGTGACATTAAACCTCCAACACGTGATAAATTCCGCAGGATCTCCTGGTGATATGTTCTCATATAATTAACTAAAAAGTGAAATTGTTTATATACAGTACATGAAGTGGTGTTAAGGAAGATTTCACTGTAGTAATGATGGCTTCATTACTTCAACAGTCATCCTTGGACTAGTCTACAATAACTTCTCTGTTTTGTATCTCTGGTCACAGACTAAATTTAAAAGACCACTGGATATGTATTTTCATTTATATTGTTACATATCTGTAAAATTATTTCTTCCACTTATTCACTCTTGGTGATGTTTAATATCTCATCAGCTACAGTAGTCTTCATGGCCTCATCACCTGCTACAGTGTTCTCTCTGCACTCAAATATTCCCAGATGGCCTGTCATCGCTCTTGATTTTTCCCTCACTCCTGACTCTGTATTCTCAAGCTTTCTCTCTCCACACACACACAAACACACACACCTTCCTGCACTTCCCCCTCTCGTCCTGTCCGGCTGACGTGTGGACGTTTGACAAGCTTCCGTTTTAGTTGGAACTGATTTGTGTCACCAGCAGAAGTTTTTGAATATCTTTGACTCATGACCACAGCTGACAGATGATTTATGTGCCTTTGCTGTGTCATACATGTAGGGTGTCTGTGATGACATAAAGGTTGTGGTGGAATGTGACATCAGTTCTACCCAGACTTTTGGCTTCGTCCATGCAAAATGTTCCATCCATATGCTCTCACCCTCTCCCACAGTTTTCCAGCTTTAGAAGTCCACAAAACACCAAGCAGGTGCTGGTGGAATCTGTTCATGTTGTGGTGCCAAAGTGTACACACACACACACACACAAATGCACACACATAGCATAGCATATTAATGTGCTAATTGGCACTAAACACAGCTGAGTCGGATGCTAATGTCTTTTGTTTTACAGGCATTGATCATACTGGGCAGATTAAAGTTTTGACCTCATGACAGCACTAGATGAAAAGTGAATGGACCATCAAAGTCATCACAATTCATACTGAGGGTGTCATAAATGTCTGTACAAACTTTCATGGCAATCTGTCATAGAGATATTTCAGTGTGGACCACAGATGTGGACCTACCAGCTGACACAACAGACAGGCAAAAAGCCTTGCTGCTGGCATGGCTAAAAATCAAGCAACCAACCAAAACATCACTTTAACACCTAATGCTCAATTAAAGATTTGAACATTTCAGTACCTGACTATACATCTCACTTGAGACATCCAATAGCCAATGTCAGCGTTCATTCAATACCAAACCAAGTCCTTGATTTGTTTCCACCTCCCCACAACTCACAAGTGTGAGTCTATTACAAAGCCTGACAGAGGTAGAGATAAGGAGAAGAATTTGAGAGAAGCGAGACTAGACCTGGCACTGACTTCATGTCGGTACTCCTTTAACACACACACACACACACACACACACTACACTACCTCCACATGTTCCATCGCTCCTCTGTGAACTGGCAGCCTGATAATAATTTTAGTGATAAAAGCCATGAAGAGCCTTGAACATAAGATTTTCCCCGAGGTATGCATTAAAATACCATTCAGCTTTCTTTGTGTGCTTTAAAATACACATAAAACAGATGTTTCATTAAAAGGTGCATTAACTAAGGTTTTACACATTGTCTGGTAAATCAAGTGAAAATGGGACAGGACGTTGTGTGTCTGAGGCATCCTACCCCCTCAGTGACAGTCTATCATTTACAGCCCTTCTGTTGTTATTCCAGCTTCTCTACTTTGCGTTGTCAAAATCAGGTCCTTACGTTAGCGCCCCCCCCACCACATAGTGAAGGTTATAAGAAATATTTTTCAAACTGTAAATAGTCATTTCAAAACAAAGAGGCCACATTCTTTTGGACAGAGCAAGTGGGACAAAGAAGGAGCAAAAACCAGGGTTAACATTAGTTTGGCTTTCTCAGATGGAGAATATTAAAAGCAGAAAAAGGATTCACATTTGTGGCAGCCTTCCATCTGGATGCATCAGCATCTAATGCTAATCTGTTTGTGACGTTAGTGACCTAGCATGGTCATAAGTTTATCTTTGTACTGAATTATTAATATACTTTGCGTTGTCAAAATCAGGTCCCTATGTTATCACTCAGTACTTTAATTAAAGTTTTGTGTAATGTTAGTGCTTTGTGTAACATCACTCGTAAATCAGCTAGCACTAGCTTCAAAGTGGAGGCTGCTTGCTCTAAATTGTTGCAACCAGGTATCTGTAGTTTACATTGTCATTAAGAAACAGAATGTAATGGGGGAAGCAAATGGTGCCGGTTTGATGTGAGCCTCACTAGACCTTCTAGCAGCTGAAAAGAAATTAGATAGAGTAGCTTTAATGTATCCAGGCACTGTGTTATCACTCAGTACTTTCTAAAATATTTGAAATTTGCCCAATAGCAGAGATGGATTGCAGCAACTGAAATTAAAACCAAATCTCAAACTAACTGGAATACAACAATCCTATCTGCATAATATTCAAACTTCAGAGGATTCTTATAAATCAACTTTTTTTTCCGGTTGCCTTTTTTGTGTTTCAGGTATTTTTCTAAAATTTAGTCATAGCTCATAAATCGGTCTTGAAACAAGACAGCTTTGCTTGTGATGAGTAAAAAGTTTGTTTCAAATGAACTATACTGAGTTTAAGACTCAGTAACAGACTGACTTGCACAGATGAACGTTTTTGCAGTGTATTCAAGTTGGTTTGGCTTGTAACTTAAGACATGAGCACCTCTGGCAGTCTTGCTGCTCCAATTAAAGGATTAGCGGGTATGAGGCCAACCGTGAAGTCTGGATCGAGGACACTGGTTATTAGTTTACCCAGCTGGTTCATTCTTAATAACAGATGAGACCTCCAGTGGCCCTCAGAGATAAAGTCTGCACACCGAGGAAGTTGTTGAATACAGAATATAAAAAATGAATGCTGTCACAGGTTTGAGAAGTTTGTTTCTCCTCCAAGCCATTTCATTACCAGCTTCTATTTAGTCATCCCTTCTCTAGTTAAGTGCATTTTGCCTCAGCATAATGGCTTTATATAATCACTGTAACTGCAAATGAGTGAATGAAGAGCAAAATACATAAATAAATGCATAAACACAGTCTTCTCCCTTCACTGTGCACACTGCATTACATTTGTCCTTTGGTACAAAGAGCGGTGCAGTAGAATGACTCCAAGGGGTTTGACTGCACTCCAGCTTTTTTGGCTGAGGTGCCAAATGGTAAAAAAAACAGCTTAAATGCAAATATTTCTTTTTACATTTCAACCTTAAGATGATTTGGTTTGACTACAGTATGGACCAGTTTAACTATACACCTGACTAGGCCTTCAGGCAGGTCGACAGAGAGCCTGAGTCTGGGCAGCGTTCCCCCACTCAGCGGTGCACCGAGCATGGGGATCATAGAGTAGAGCATCCCCACCTCTGTGCCCTGCTGGGAACCACAGTGAGGGATGCAGCAGGGCACAACCCACTGAGTAAATATCTCTCTGGGGCTCCCTTTCTGATTCTCCCTTTTCTGACTTCTCTCTTTCTGTGGAGTAATGAGAACAAAGTGTGTCAGTTGGTTGAGGTATCACTCTGGCACCAGAACACATCCAGAGAGAGTTTGAGCAGATTTCATCCTCCCATTATCTTGCCCCCACCACCACCACCATCCGCCCTCACTGTCAAACAGCATTTCATTCATTCTCGCTCATTTGTGGTCTTACATATTTCTGACTAAACTCCTCCACAACCCCTGCTTTTCCCCCTCAGCTAAGTCTAATTCATCACTTTATCCATCTCATTACTTTCTCTGAACCAGCTTCTCCGTCTCTGTCAAGTGATGCTTGGATTGTCTCCATCTCTTTATTCTGTCATCTTTGCCAATCCTAGCCTCCCTAGTTTCTTCTTCCACAACCCCTTAAATGTCACTTGACATAATTCGCGCTTTCACTCCTGCTCTCTTGTTGATCTTGGCAGCCAACTCTCACTTGACAATGGTTACACTCCTCCTCCTCCTCCTGTTCTTCCTTTTGGCTACTCAGAGCCCCCCCTGCTGGTTTGTGTCTGTGAGCTGTGTCCTTGAGCAGAGGTCAGGTGGGTTTCCTCTAGTTTGAGGGGACTTTCCTCAAGCGGCCGTTTGCAAATTTACTACTGTGTTTGTAAAAGCTCAAGGACGTGTGTGTGTGTGTGTGTGTGTGTGTGTGTGTGTGTGTGTGTATGCATGTGCATATTTTCTCAGCATAAGAAAAGGGACCATGCATGTTCTTTCCTGCAAGTGAGTGCCCTTGAAATACACACAAGAGGATAAGCACTCACCTGACTGTGTGTACACGGAGTAGATGAGAATTATTTGTGTGTGTGTGTGTGTGTGTGTGTGTGTGTGTGTGTGTGTGGCTGTGCGCATATGTCAGCATGCATTTGTATTCATGTTTCCTCAGGATAAACAATGCCATCCAACCCTATAATGAATCCACTGAGCAAAGTGACTGATTGTATGCATCGTAAACAAAACGTGCGAAACTCCTACTCTGAATTGACATGCACATGCAGGATGACACGAGTGCATCAGCGTTTTTGGGCCAAGATGGCTACACTTGACCTCAATCACTCCATATGGAGAGCACTGTGGGAAGGAGAGGGTGGAGTCTGACTGCACAGTCAACACCTGAGCTGTTGCCACAGCAATAACGAGTGGAACAGTTGGTTGGCATCGCCTGCATAAAATAATGAATTACCTGGAAAAGCCCTCTGGGAAGCATAGACAGCTCCTGGCAGTTTATTGGAGGATTGGAAGCATGGCTCTCCATCCTCCACACCATAATCTGGTCATTAGGCTCTCTGGGGAATACAGCTAATTGCTGCCCTGAGTGAAATGCAAAGCTGAGCACCTACCTGAGTGTTTTGGTGGTCATGTCGGCTGCTGTGATGCCATGATACACCAGTGTCTCATTCCACACTGGGTTCAATGTATTCTTGAGGGTTTTTGTGCGTAGCTTGTTTGCCTGGGGTGAAAAAGAAAAAGAAATATGAACAGAAATACATGGAAAGGGATGGATCAAAAGAAGATAGAGAGAGAGAGAGAGAGCAAACCTGCTGGAACAGAATAACAGAGAGTAAAAGATCATGAATAGGAGGCAAAATGACCGACACTAAAAGACCAGAAAAGAAAGAGAGAAAGAAAAAGAGAAATATCATTTATCTCTGTCCCTCATGAAATCACACCTGATGCCTATTTTATAGAGGAGAGCGAGAGGATGCAAGGCTTACCTCCCCTCCCTTGTCCCCAACATGATAAAACAGTGCACATTTGCACTAGCATTAGCCAAGCATTGTGTCAAACACAACACAACACAGCAACCAATTAAACTTCACAACACAATCAGCATGAAAAATTAAAGCTTTCCAAGAGATGAAAAGCCCATGAGCCCCTAACAGCGTCACCATCCATAAATAACATTTGCAGCCACTTGCTGCCTCATTTCCCACAGTTGCCTTGAGGATTGTGTTTATCTTGTTTATATTTTTATTTGAGATTTTATTTTGTACTAGTTTAATTTGTATAATCAATAGTAGAAATTAGGCCCGCAACCCATTAAAGTGCTTTTTGTTCTAGACACATCCTTGCAGGTTAATAAGATCTTGTAGAAACAAAGTTTAAGCTGCAGAAGTAGAATTCTAAGGTGTTGTTTGTTTGATAGCTGCATTTATGTGATACATCCAAAATAAAGTGTAGAGAAACTTGCCTTCTAAATCTGGTCAAATTATGTATCCCTCTTAATGTCAGAAAATCACCCCAGAGCAACAAATGTGTATCAACCCGCCACTGAAAACAGTCTGTTTGCTACTTTCTGGGTTATGTCTGCTAAAAGTTATAGTGTCTTTATAATGGAAATATTTAGCTTTTACTTAAAAAAAAAATTCATTACCTATGTTTGAAGAATGTCATCTTGAGTATGAACAATGTGTCTTAGGGCTGAAGAAGTGTGAAAACACAGTATTGAGAGGCAGAATAAGACATTGTTGGTTTTGTTTCTATGAGAATTGTTGACAATAAGAACAATATGGATTATTGAAAGCCTTATCTTGTTGACAATAAGAACAATATGGATTACTGAAAGCCTTATTTTTTGAACTACACAGTTATAAAGAGGGTCAAATTAAGATGTTGCATACATGCTTATGCATCAGTGACAACCATCCAGTAACACATTTTATATAATAATACATTTATTGTCAGTACTTTTATTTAAGAACTTTTATTTCTGCCCTCATTCTATCCATGTTCTTAGGAAAGTTTGCTTACTGTTCTTTTGTGGAGTTTTATGGTGCTTCTACTTTTATTTGTGTTACTGGTGGCCATGTGAAAATATACTCTACATACAGTCAGAATGTCCAGCTGGTAGAGGAAGTGAGTAGTGTGTTCAATAGAATACTCCTGCTCAAATTCTTCTCCCTCTGTCTCTCTTTATCTCTCTTTTTCCTTTGTGCTGCAGCCAACCTCTTGCTTCTGTGTCTTAGGGCCAGAGGCTGAACCCTCTCTTCCATTTTCTTTCGCAGGGTCTGTTTTTGTCCCCACATCTCATTGTTCTTCCTCCCTTCCCACCTACTGTCCCATTTTATTGTCCGTTTTCTGCTGGGAACTTTTGGCTTATCTGTTAGAGTCAGCCCTCCAGTGCTCGCTACATGAAGGGAACAAGTGTTTTCCATTCATATCATTTGTCTGTTTGTGCAAAAACAGTGTCATGACACATAACAGCTTTGCTCGGCTCTATGTGTGCCAGCACAGCTCAACAGAACAACTATTTCACAAATAATCATTCCTTATCGACAGACGTTTGGTTTTCTGAGCACATATCTTACTGCATGGTCCATCTGCAAACATTTAAAACACCAGTCCCTCTTCCTGCCCTCTGTCACTCCCTGTCTCAATTTTAACTTCTACACTTGTGCAACTCTTGCTTAATCTTTTATCTCTAGCCCTTATTTCACACTCTCTCTTTCTCACTCCCTACTTCCTGGAGCTGTGAGTGAACAGAGTCTGGCTGTGACTGAATTTCCCATGCACCCTGATTGGGGATAGACAGATGAAAACATCAGTGACCATCAAGAATTACAGTGTCTGTTTGCTTGAGAGGCAGAGACAGAGAAGGAGGAAAGGATGAAGGGAGTATCTCTTTGTGACTGTGACTTAAAGCATAGCATGTGCCTACATGTATGCAAGGACATGTGCCGCATGTGTTTCTGTGTGCGTTTAACATCACAGTTCGGCACGCCTGACTCTATCCTGATTAAAGCATGTGCTGGAGGATGTGAGACTAAGAATGAAAGAAAACGTGTGGCACTGAGGAGCGCTCACTATTTTGACAACTCAGTTCTTTGCAGAAACTGAACCCCTTTGTGTTCTGGATTATTCAGCGCAACACTCACATGCTGAGTCTGATTGTGGACAAGTGTAGGTGTGTGAGC